GATTATTTGCTCAGCATACAGATTAAGTATGGTGAAAGGATACAACCCTGAGGCACAACTTTCCTGACTTTAAATCACGCCACATCCCCCTGTTCCATTCAAACGACTGCCTCTTGATCTATGTACAAGTTCCTCATAAGCACAATTGAGTGTTCTGAAATTCCCATTTTTCACAATGTTATCTATAATTTGTTATGATCCACACAGTCAAATGCCTTTGCATAGTCAATAAAACACAGGTAAGCTAAATGCCTTAAAAAAAAAGCCTCCCTCCCATCCACCGTCCTAAGTGAAAGCAGGCTGACATATTTACTAATTATGGCTTTGGACCAGCTGACTGGGATATGAATCCTAGCTCTAGTGCCACTTGCCAATTCTGTGATCTGTGGGCAAGTTACTTAACTTCTTTTTTCCAAATCTGTAAAATAGGTTTAAAATAGTTCTTACCTTGTCAGGTTGTTGCAATATGTGTTTCTGTGTGTGTATAAAGTCCTTAGAACAGTGCCTGAAACAGTAAAATCAGTGTGCTAGCTGTTAACCGAAGCTATACTTCCCAACTGGCCATCTGGAAGGTATCCCAACGTTTCCTTGCAGGTGTTGTCTTCTTCTCAGGGAAGCGGGGTGTGGAGAGGGCAGATCAAATGGGGTACATACCTCACTCAAAGAGAACAGATCTCACCTCTTCTCCTTTTGGGTCAACAAGCCACTACTAAGGGCCTACCAATTCCCAGGTGCAGCAAGGAAGGGGCCTAAGCAGCCCTGGAGGAGCTTATGGTCTAGTTAGCCAGAGAAGAACCCTCTCCTGAAGAAAGGTATGAGGATCTAGTTTGGGGGCCAGACTTGAAAAATTACTTGTGTAATTAAGTTTAATTTCTAGCTGTTTTCTAAACAGATACCAAACCCACTGCCCTTGAGTCAATACTGACTCACAGCAATCCTATAAGGTTTCCAAGGCTTTAAATCTTTATGGAAGCAGACTGCCACAGCTTTCTCCTGTGGAGCAGCTGGTGGGTTCAAACCACCAACTTTCTGGTTAGCAGCCAACTGCTTTAACCACTGCACCAACAGAGCTCCTCTAACACTGAATAGACACACATTTTAAAAAAGCTACTGATATGAAAGAGGTCCAGCTGAACACCAAGAGATTACTAAGTCAAACGGTCACAACTTTGAGGATGGCAGAGCTGAGAAGGTCACCATCCCCATGAAGGCACAGCCTCTCAGTATTAGAACCTGGCAACTGCTCAGAGCCCCACTTTAGGGAGATGGTTGCATTGTTTACAAATGATTCAGGGAGGTGCCAGTGACAGTAGCACTTTGGGCTAGTAAGTATAAGAAACTGGGGCTTTACAGACAAAATTAAGTAATTATCCAAACCTCTCTCCACTGCCACCCTCACCCCTGTTCTTTTCCTGGGCCTTCACCATCCCAAAACATGCCTACAGCTTCCTACTGCAAGCACCTGTGTCTCTTGGCCTGACGACTTTTCTCAGTCCCTGCAGAGTGGGCCAGAAGTGGAGCCAGGTGCAGCCCTCAGTCGGAGGCAGACAGGAGTGGGAGGGTAAACATCCCTTTTCCTATGCCCCATGTACAATAACCCCGAGGCATGTTCTACACAGTCTCCCACAGTTCCCCAGTGGGGCTGCACTCTAGTTGTCCATAGTGGTAACCTACTCAATCACATATCCTTTGGCTACGCATGACAATTAACATTTGAGATGGCATAAGAAAGGAATTGCAAAGACTCAATTTCCTATATGTTGGTGTAAAAGAGAACCAGACCTGTCCTTTGCAGGTTTTTATTGCTCCTATAAACAGAAGCAGCTCAACTCATAGATGAGTAATTATTTTCCTTTCAGCTGTGTTGTCACCAGTATGATTATAAAACTATGGTTTTCCTTTACCTTTCTTTTGACAACCAGAACTAGAGTAGAGTTTACGCTCAGATAAAAAATGATAATGTATAATAGATGGGAAGTATTATAGCAAAATTTGTGAGGACTCAAACAGGGCCCGAACTTTGTTTTTGTTTTTTTGTTATCTATGCTTAAAAAAAAGGTCATCAAGTAATTAATAGTGGAAACAAGCTTGGGGGATGAGTAGCACAATTACTAACCCCCTTAAGAAAACACATGACTATACAGAGCTTCCACTGGATGCACGAAAACAACGGATGTCTTCGTGAAAAACCAAGCCAGAGTTTAACAATAAAAATGGACAACCATGACTTACTACTTTTCTTAGTAGGACATTCAAGTTACTGCTTACGGTTGGAAGTTGTACAGCTACTTTTCGTAATTCAAAATCATCATTCATTTGATGGATCCTCTCTCCTTCGTTAGTGCTTTCCACTTCAATGGCCACCACTCCGTTTGGGTACTCAGTTAATTCCTTCTGTCTAAACTGACCCTGACTTCCTCGGCTCCACGATTCTCTTTCCTCCAGTTCATCTTCCACAGCACTGCCAGACTCATCTTCCTACAGCTGCATACTTAGATGTCTAAGTGCGCCACTCACAAGTCCTTCCTTAATCTGCCCAACACACAGACACACACACATATACAGTGATTCCATGGGGAAATCTCAATTCTGGAGCCTGGTACTAAGAAGTTCCCTGATAAAGTCCCAAACTCATTTTCTACTGCTTCCCTAAAAGAACTTTAGACTTCAGCCAGACTGGGGTACTTACCCACAGGGCTTTCTTGCTTCCACTCCTACCCTTAGAATGTCTATCACATCCCCACTCACTGGTGTCCTTTCTATCCTTCAATGCCCAGCTCAGACACCACCTCCTCCACCAAGCCTTGCGTGACTCATTTCAGAGGAAGCCGTGCTCTCTTCCTCCCTGAACTCACACTTGCCTCATGTAAGTAGTACTTATCACATACTATCCTGTGCATTCAAAAGAACATCACTTTGTGGGAAGCATCTCGAGGACAGGAATTGTGTCATTCATGAAGAGGAACTCATGAAGCGGCCTACCGTGGCTTCTCATACAGAACAACTGCTCAACAATTGCTCGTTTATTTACTGAATTCAATCAGTGAGAGGGTACTGTGTTCTGAGGGAGTCCCTGGACACCAATGACTCTGGGCATAGAGACTAATTCACATGGCTGTCCAAAGAGGAGGAGCACAGATTTCTGCTGAAAAAATAAAATGTAACTCTTATGAAAGGAAACTGTTCTGGAATTAGTATACAATAAGGATGAACTAATTTGTGATTTTACTGAAATATACTTACCTTTTAATTGCTCAAACATCAATCAAAGACTGGTAAAGGCAAGATATAAATTTCTCAATGTGTTAACTAATTGGTTCTTAAACACAACTAAGTAGTCAACGCCTCTAAGGAGATGACCACTTTCCAGTATAAATGAAAATGCTTCTCTTCTAATTATAATACGGAATATTTTAAGGGATAGTCAGCTGTATGGCTCCTGCCCTAATTTTAAATATGACTTAAAAGGAGAATACATATCCATATAACTATGTGTAAGGTAAAGAACTGGTAGTGTGAACAGTAAAAAAAGTCCTCCGTTTTACTTAACTACCATCGACACTGCCGTTCTAAGAATGTGTCTATCATGAATGGCACAGAAAGAACAAACTGGTTTATAGATTAAAAACACGTCAATTATTTGATGACCGAATTTCAGAAAGAAAAGCCACCTGAATAGTTCAGAAGTCTATCACATCATACCACCTTTGGCGTACATCGAATGGCATATGAGTCATTGATCATTAAAGGCCTTTTTATATAGGTCAGGGTTGCTGGGGCTTTGTGTTTTGTACCTTACAGTTTAAAGAATGCTCTAAATTCTAGGGTTTTTTTCTTTTTTTAGCTTTTAATCTATGGGGGAGAAAAGTAAAACTTTCTATAAACTTAGATTAATGCCTGCAAAGCATGGAAGGAAAAAACTAAAACCTTCCTCCTACTATAAAAACAAAATAGCGTGGCCTCTGTTTCTTTTCTGATAAGAGTCTTAAATACCAAACAGTTAACTGCATAATAACATTTACTGGCAGCCAGGCAGCCTGCTTAGCAGATATATAAAGCAGGTAAAAAGAGAAAAAGTTAATTTCTTGGCTGAATGATTCCATCGGTAGCTATAGGGCAAACCTGAAAGTCTTTTAGTAAAGTAGCAGTTGATTCTTCTATCAATCTGTAGCACACATACTCTTCCAAGGAAAGCATTAAATATGAAAATCATATCCCGTTATCATCTGTTTCCAGCTTTCAGCCCAGTAAGCTTTTCTTAATGAATGTTGCAGCCTAAGAACAAGCACGCTGTTGGCTTTTCTGAATAATGGAGTGATGCTACCATTTTTGCTTATTACAATATCGACTGGCTGAGGGGGTTTCACACATAGTCACAAGTGACTACTCTTGCCAGCGTGCTCCAAGTTATTACAAGATGTTTTTAGACATTTCATCTAAAAGAGCTTTACTGCTTTTAGTGAAGAAAAACATCCATGGTCTTGAACAGAATCATTTATATGGAGATAGGCAGGAGGATTAGAAGCCTGCATTATGGCAGATACACAGCAGAATTTATTTAAGTACTCCTTGCCAGTCTTTTTGTCTGTCACTAAGATACGCAATCTTTTCTTTCTACTTTCTCTATGAACAGGTTAAAATATACAAAATTATATATAAAAAGAAAAGAATCAAAATACTACATTTTGGTTTACTTTTCATTTAAAATATTTCTCCAACTTAAAAAAAAAACTGCAAAGTATTATTTAAAAATACACAAGTTTATCTCCTAAGGACACTAAGGTATTCTTTGGATTTTAACTCTTTTAACCCCAAAGTGACTGCCTTTTAGTAAATTTAACTGAATTGACATTAAAGCAATAGAAGTTAAATAATCACTTAAGGCTTAATCGAAAAGACGTTCGTAATAAGATGGTTTTAGTTAAAGCAATTATTTTAAAAGATAAACACTCTAGAAAGCCTCTGTTAACATAAAAGTAATGATTTTAATTTATTATTACCTTTTCCCCGTCTTCATCTTTCAGTTCACCTTTTATTCCCAGGCTATCTTTTGACAGTAGCTGCATCTTCTTAATTTGAGTCTCATATTCAATCTAAATATAAACAAAGTTTTACTTTGTGGTGGCTATTATTACAACTAGTACCTGTCTATATATCTTGCAGTCTTTACAGCATAAAAGGAACAATGAAGTAGAAAGTAAAAGCTGACACTGCCAAGAAATTCAACTTACCTAGAAAACAGACAATTTCACAAATAATATAGATTAAAAGTTGAACTGTATAAAATGGTATATAATTTTAAAATAAAATAATGCTTTATGGATTTTTACTTAATCTTTTATCAATTTAGGGACTAAAACTTCAATATAAATAACAACATGTTGACACTTTCATTAAGTTATCATGAAAATCCAGTGATTTTAATATGAAAGTAACACATTAGACAGTGTTTTCTTTGGAAAGTTTTGTCCTAAGCAAAGGGAAAAAAATCAATCCCACTTCTTAGCTATATGATAGCTACATAATGTCATGGTCCTAATAGTTGCAATAGAGTACCGTATACTACTTGCTTGATTGTCAACTTAAAACGAATTCCATTTTCTGTGAAGAAAATACAACGTAGGCATCAACCATCAGCACCATAAGAATCAAGTCTGCTCCGGCACTAATAACTATACAAAGATGTCTGCATCATTACCACACTGTAACTGACGAAAGTGATTCAATCATAAAATGACTTTTTTTGAAAAGCAAGGCATAAAAAGCACTTTGATTCAGTAAATTACTAATTAAAGCCTTGAAAAAGTCCACCACAGATAAGTATCAGAGCATTTTCTAACTCGGGCAGTTGATGCACTGCAACGAGAAACACACCTATGAGATAATCAAATTAAGAAGCTGTTCCCGTAGTTCTCAGTCTGCACATAAAACAGGCGTGAGCTTTGTTTTCCCACACACGAAGTGAACGGGCAATAATAACCAAAGCTGATTTGTTTTCCTCAAAATATTTTAAAAGGTGCCCCATTTTTAATGAGGCAGGATTTCTTTTTGCTGTAGCAGGATGCTATTAACATCACAGATGACAGTAATGATCTAAAACAGATACCTAATTAAATAAGTTTTATAAGGCCAACGCAAATGATAAAAAGAATAAACCAAGAAAAGATAAAGAAATAAGGCAATTAAGAAAATACCATTTACGTCGCTGTTTTATACCTACTCCTTTGAACTCACAGATGTTTAGTTTTTAACCCCAAAATGTTTAAACAGACACACTTTATAGAATCCAAGGGAAAGTATCTTTAAAAAGAAGTGAGAGATGGATTACAAAATAAACATATATTACAGATTAAATAAAAATGTTTTTTCCTGTGGCTACAATTGTAATCATATGCTTTTTGAATCAGTTATAAACATGCAACAGGCATTGTACCTGACTTCCTCATTACAGGATCATTTCAGGGCCATAACTTACAGACAGAGCACTTTCTCATGGAAAAATGAGAGTTTTATTCAACTATTTTGCCAAAGCAAAAAGGAAGGGATAACTGCATGTCATGGTTTGAATTATGTCCCCCCAAAAATGTGTATATCAGTTTGGCTGGGCCATGATTCCTGGTACTGTGTGATTTTCCTGTATGTTGTAAACCTGCCTCTATGATGTTAATGAGGGAGGATGGGTGGCAGTTGTGTTAGTAAGGCAGGACCTGATCTACAAGACTGGATGGATTGTGTCCTGAGGCAATCTCTTGAGATATAAAAGACAGAAGTGAGCAGTGAGACAGGGGGACCTCATACCATCAAGAAAGCAGTGCCGGGAGCAGAGCACGTCCTTTGGACAGGGGTCTCTGCGCTGAGAAGCTCCTAGTCTGGGGGAACACGGATGAGAAGGCAGAGAGAGAGAAAGCCTTCCCCTGGAACTGACACCCTGAATTTGGACTTTTAGCCTACTTTACTGTAAGGAAATAAATTTCTCTTTGTTAAAGCCATCCACTGGTGGTATTTCTGTTGTAGCAGCACTAGATGACTAAAACACTGCATAAGGAGTTCATAAAGAAAAAGAAGTATCTTCAAGGGCCCAATTTACATTGCTCTCAATGCATCTGAAAAACTTACTAAATTGCAGGAACTCCTTTCTAAATTGATGATGTAAATAAAAACTGTACAATATATTTTGAAATCAGAAACTATGATAAATTGATGATTGATATCAACTGTACTTCTGCATCCCCTAGGACCATGGATTTCTACTAAAATCACTTTGCTCTCTTTTTTTACCTTTTATTTATACACACAATATTTGATATTATCCCTCAAATCCACCTCAACACTTGAGAGCAGGGTTTTTTCCAACTGTGCTCTGCAAGGCTGTCAAGCCCCCCAGACCCACTTCCTCTTCTATCTATATTCAAACAAACAGTTCTACTACTTTAAAAAGTTTTTTTTTTTTTTTTAAGTTTGGAAAGCACTGTGTACATAAATGTTTTCAAGGTTTTCCCAGCTAAAATCTCTGATGTAACATCAGAGCATATCCTCATCTGCATCAATTTCTCCAACAGTTTGTCTTTCAGGTTTTATTCTAATGTCTTCTCCCATCAGGTCCCATGTGCTTCTTTTGCTTCCACAAAACATCAAGGCTGGCACTGCAACCCTCCTTTCTGGTGGCGGACTCCTGGTCCCTGCTCCTTTCCTTACATGTGGCCTAGACTTCTCACCATCGGATGCGCTGCTTCAGGTGCCAAACTACTCATGCCCCATAGCATCTCCTGGTCTGGAGCCCTTCTAAAGATAACGCGTTCATTCACTCTTGCGAAATCTGTTTTAATAATCCCAAAGCACTGACTTAGCCCACCTTGTTCTATTTGTTACTGCTTTGAGGCACTGGGCTTGATGCTGCACCCCTAAATTGAGGAGGACCTTCCCCTTCACTTCCTACCATGCAACAGCAACTGACTTCAACTCCATTCCTATAATCTGCTGTTGATGATCTGGTGTGGCAGGCAGAGGAGGCAGAGGTTCTGGCAGATCTTTCAGCTCTTTGGGGATCTCACATACTCACAACGCATTCCGTTTCCCATTATGTTTCCTTCTTTTCTTCTATGTTCTTACATTCTTTCAATTTCCCCTCTTCACATTATCACTTGCCTAAAGTGCCACCACTACTTTTTATCACAGGCTTCCTTTTTTCACTGGTCTTTGGGATTGTACAGCTACTTCTCAATTACAGGATAAGTGAATAATTGAACTAAAGAGACATGGATGAGCTGGTCCAGCCCCTGATATCACAGTGGAAGGAATGGATACAGAGTTACATAAATTGTCTGATTTGACTCTCTGGTGAACATGAGAGAAGGGGCTAAAATTCAGTCCCTTGTTTTCTCCCCTACTATTTTTTCTAATATATATGCTTCCTCCTAGATGGTGAATTTTTACCAATAAATATATAGAAACATTTATTTATTCAAGTACACACAGTAACAGGCAAGATGCTTGGTTGATAAAAAATGGAATTTGCTAGAGACTCTGTCCTCTAAGAGGCAGAAGGTCGCGTGTGGAAAGGGCCACCTTGCCCTGCCCTCAGTGGCTGTCACAATGCTGAGCAGAAATTAAACAATAGCTCAAAAGGTTTGTTCTCCTCAGATTTTATCCCCTACAGGCACACACAACCTAATAATGGAATTTTCAACAGGGGTCACATCTTTAATGTGATAATGACATTGGATCTTCAGAATGTCTCTGCTATTAAATATAAATGGAGAGTATATGACTGTTTGTTAACAATAATTTTTTCAATTTTTCTGTGTATTTAAAAATTTTACAATAAAGGCTGGGGGAAAACTGCTAGAGCTAAGAAAATGAGAAATACTGAAGCCAGCTCCTCCTATAACCAGTATTCAGTTAACTTGAACAACAAGCCCTGACCAGTGCAAATAGTGAGAAAAAAGGCCTGGCTCCTGACCCTCTATACTTGGCAGGGGAAATGGGGCACAGGAATCAGAGAGGGCCATGATAAGCCGTGGCTCTGGGTCACACAGCCCAGGGCATGAAAATGAACTCCCTGGGGCCAGTTCTACCCGAGCCCCACCCCAACTCCCTGCCTGACCAGAACAGAAGAGCCCACCACTGAAAAAGAACTATTTGAAGAAGGAAGCAGTCTCTGAAGAAAATCCTAGTGCCCCTCAAATTCAATCATCCAGCCAGTGATCGTGGAAGGGCCTGTCATGTGCTAGGCACTGTGCCAGGTATTGGCTAGGGACCTTGCCTGCGTTAAGTATTAGTGTAAAAACAGAACACACAAAGCAAAACCCACTGCCGCTGAGTCGATTTTGACTCATAGCGACCCTCAAGGACAGAGCAGAACTGCCCCATAGGGTTTCCAAGGAGCGGCTGGTAGATTCAAACTGTGGTCCTTTTGGTTAGCAGCCGAGCTCTTAGCCACTGCGCCACCAGGGCTCTAGTGTTAGTGCAGTATTACACATACAAACACAATCATAAATAGTCTGTTAATTCTGCAACTAAAGTAGGAATCTTAGAAAAATGCAATTTCAAGTTTTCTGATCAAAATTTGGCCACATGTTAATTCAGAGAAAACTAATACTTAATCCTATGAACAAATGAACATTAGTACCCTCCCCTGATCTGAAACTTGCTGCCCGTTACTTCCAATTTTAGCAACAAAAGATAAAAAAGGCATAGTATAAAACAAGACATCACCTTCAGTTCCTGAAGCTTCTCTGCATTTGTGGTAAAATGTCCAATATGAGCTTGTACACGCTCACACCACTTTAAATATTTCTGGTTTCGAGCATGAGCCTTCTTTTCTGATTCACATATTTCTTTGAGGTATTTCTTTAATTTTACATACTTCAGTTTAACTCTAGAAAAATAAAAGCAGATTTTTAAACAATGGAGTCAGACTTTGACAAGCTTAAGGAGGAGAATTTTCCTTAACAAATTTGTTCATGAGACAATATATTCTAAGAATTTTACCCCAAACACTGAAACCCAAAGGACAGAATGCATATACATTTTTAGAGAGAGAAAATTAATGAATATCACTGCATTATCTCACGGCTACACCTAGGCATAACTCTCCTGAGAAGCGCAAACAAGACCACATTATAACATCCACACAATAAAGGTTTACACAGATTTATTTCTCAAAACTGAAAGTGATTTCAAGAGCAGAGTCTACGTGGCCGTATTCAGATGAATAGCCCATTAGCATTCTTTTGTATGGCAGACAACTTCAAAACAACCTGCTCACCTGGAAATACTCAAACTACAACACATATATATTAAGAAATTTTGAAATTTAACATACCAAAAAAGCTCTCATTTAGATAATGTAAAAATATTTGTTAAAAATTGCAACAATGTATTATTAAGATATGTTACAATAATATATGGACTGAAGCTCTACTCAAACTGTGAAAAAACCCTTAGAGACTGTCATACAAAGCATAATATCAAAACACGGACTGAGTAGTTCATGTTGTACAGCACACTCTTCTCACAGAACCACACTAACCCTGGCTCTTTCTTCCGCATAAGTGTCTAAATCATAAGAGAGTACTTGGTTATGCAGCATTTCTACTGTTGGCTCAATAAATTATTCAACATCCTCTATCAAGCAAAAATAATTTATAAACCACAAAAATATTTACCCTGAAAACACAGATTTGCAAAGATACTGGAGTTGTCCAGAATTAATCACAACAGACTTTAAACCCCTGCCCCAAACTAATAATTTTCAAAACATTCTTTATGGTGCTAACAATTCTGTGCTTTGACCTTGGTTGGCTATCCCCATTTTCCCTTCTGAACAAAAAACTTAACGCTGTTTCTACTGCTGCCCGTATCTGCCATCTTTTGCTTGAGGGACAGTAAAGGACTTAGAACCTAACGTACCGTCCTTCATACTCAGGCACCTGGTAAAGCTGTTCCACCTGAAGAGGTACAATAGTCACACCTTCTCCATCCAAATGGAGTTTCATTCCTATCCCCACATTAGCCTTCAAAGCTGACCACATAAGTAAATCATCCATCCAATCATTTATATTTTCAGTGCTCCAAATATAACAGGAACTCAGCAAGAGTCCATGGGGAAACAATTAAATACGCCCAATAAAGTGTGATTAATGCTATGAAGGAAATACAAGGGCCTCTTACATACCAGGCAACCTGACCTAGTTGAAGGGGTCAAGGAGGCCTTCCCGGTGGAAATAAAGTTAACCCAAACCTGAGGAAAACAGGAGTGAAAAGATGAGGGAAAAACATTCCAGGCAGGGGAAACAGCATGTTGAAAAGCCCAGAAGCAATAAATAAGAGTAACAACAATACTGATAAAGATAGTAATAAATAATAAATCGACTTTTACACCACTATCCTTATTTTATAGGTGAAGAAATGGAGGCACAGAATGTTGAAGTAACTGTCCCAGGACCACATAACTAAGAGCTGGTGGGGCTCAGGTGATTATATTCATAAGTTATAGGTACCTGGCAACAGAGCCCACGTGCATAACCTCTGCACTGCTCTAAAAGCCTGTCATGCTTAAGAACCTGAAATTTCTACCAGTGTAGAATTTTAGGAGCAGCTGGGCAAGAGAGGATGATGATAAACAGAGAGCAGACAATGGAGGGTGTGGAAGCTGCCGTACTGGACACCGCTGGTGCCCTCCTCACATCCTCCTGGCCCGCTTTTTTTCCTACTGGCCACTGCTGCAGCAACCTGCTGTACTCAGGGTAACAACCTGAGAGCACAGCTGCACCTTGTATCCTGCTTTCCCAAGGCTGCTTTTCTGAGTTCACAGCACAGAGAGCTTTGTTGTGAGAAGTTCACACCTCCAGGGGCCACTCCTACCAAGAGGGGTCAAAACCAGGAGGTAAATAACCCCCTCTTCCTTTCCCTTGTGTAGACACTTTTGAGGAGCAGAGGAGCAGTCTACATGCCCCTCTGAAAGTCGGCAGGATTGAGCTCCAGCTGCCCACAGCAGCGACCAGCTCCTTTTTCATTCTCCCCATTCCTCCTTTCCCATTTTCCGTGACCACTTCCTACAATAAACTACTTCATACAAGCCTTTGTCTCAGACTCTGCCTTTTGGGAGGTGTGGGGGACCAGATAGGAGCAGCCATGTTACGTAGTTTGAATTTTACCCTACGGAGAGTCTAAGAAAGCATATTATTGGCAAATCACATCCTCTGTCTTCCAGAAAACAACAAGAGGCTGAGAGAGAAGAACAAACTTGGCAAACTGACAGCATGGCCGGAGGGGCTGAAGGTTCCTTTCTTCTCTCACACCTCTCCACTCCACCATTATGCCAGAAAGCACCCATGAATAAGCTGCATGAGAAGTCTACTGCCTGTCTTCTGCCCCTCTAGCCATGGGCTAGAAAACCCATAGCTGCATGAATCCCCTGCCTTGGGCCCACTCCTGAGGCTACAGCGTCCACCATTCCCTCCGCAGTGCTTGTCTCCTCTAGAGCTGCTCATCATGTATGGTGGTCTACCCTGACCGGTAACTTTGGAAGTACACTATATTTTAAAATCAAAGGATAACTTCAAAGATGAGAAAATAAATGGGCCTAATGGTTGATATGAAGCCCTGGTAGTGCAGTGGTTAAGAGCTCACCTGCTAACCAAAAGGTCAGCAGTTCGAATCTACCAGCCGCCCCCTGGAAACCCTAGGGGGCAGATCTACTCCAGTCTACAGAGTTGCTACGAGTCAGAATCGACCGGACGGCAACAGGTTTAGTTGTTTGGGTTTTGAACGATGGATTTGGTTTTAAAATACTCTCGGCCTCTCTCTTCTGGATGAACCGTTTCTGTATCTCGGTCATACTGTGACATGGACAAGTCATAAATCATTGCCATCATGGCAGAAACTTTTCAGATGAATAATACTGGAGGTAACACCATATATTTGGCTTAAGAATAAAGTCCAAGCTGACATAAAATAGAATTAAAAATATTAAAGGTCTGCTCTTAATTTAGAGTAAGTAGTCTAAAGAGGATAGATAATATGTATGTTATCCATTGGTCATAATAATTTTAACAGTTAGTCTCATATATGAACAAATGAGACAGCAGGAAACCCTGCCTATAGCAGTTTTTTGAAAGATCAACTATGGGAATTATACATTAATCATGACATAAGCTCCATTTATTCATATTGTGACCAAAAAGATAAAAAAGACTAAAACGCACCTTATTCTTAAGGATTTAAGCAAAACAGAGCTCTGAAATAACACAAATACCAAATGATGAAAATAAAATAATTTTCACCTTGTACTAATTTTTTTCCCACTCCACTGGTTTATTTATTTATTTTTAAAATTGTGCTTTAGGTGAAAGTTTACAGCTCAAGCTAACTTCTCATATAAAAATTTATACACATACTGTTTTCTGACATTAGTTGCAATCCCCACAATGTGACAGCACACTCCCCCTTTCCACTCCGGGTTCCCTGTGTCCATTCAACCAGTTCCTGTCCCTTCCTGCCTTCTAATCCTGCCTCCAGACAGGAACTGCCCATTTGCCCTCCTGTATCTGACTGAACTAAGAAGCACACTCCTCATGTGTATTATTTCTTGTTTAATAGTCCTGTCTTTGTCTGAAGAGTGGGCTTTGGGAATGAACTCAGTTCTGGGTTAACAGAGCGTCCAGGGGCCATAGTTTCAGGGGTTCCTCCAGTCTCTGTCAGACCATTAAGTCTGGTCTTTTGATGTGAATTTGAGTTCTGCTCCACAATTCTCCCATTCCATCCAGAACACTCGGTTGTGTTCCCTTTCAGGGTGGTCATTGGTGGTAGCTGGGCACCATCTAGTTCTTCTGGTCTCAGGCTGGTGGAGTCTCTGGTTTATGTGGTCCTTTAGTCTCTTGAGCTAATATTTTCCTTGTGTCTTTGGTTGTCTTCATTCTCCTTTGCTCCAAGTTAGATGGGACCAATTGATGCATCTTAGATGGCCGCAAGCTTTTAAGACCCCAGACGCCACTCACCGAAGCGGGATGTAGAACATTTTCTTAATAAACTTTGTTATGCCAAAGATGTCCCCCAAAACTAAGGTCCCCAGCCCCCAGCCCCACCTACTCTGTCCCTCATAGTGTTTGGATGTGTCCAGGAAACATCTTAGCTTTTGTTTTGGTCCAGTCGTGCCGACTTCCCATGTATTGTGTGTTGTCCTTCCCTTCACCGAAGTTGATCCTTGTATACTATCTAGTTAGTGAATTCATCTCCTCCATCCTCCCCACCCTCATTACCATCAAAGAATGCTTTTTTCTGTGTTTAAACCTTTTCTTGAGCAATTAGGGTCATATAACAATGTATGTATTAAATTTTGTATGGGAGACTAACTTGAAATGTAAACTTCATTTAAACTATAACAATAAAAAGAAGGAAAAATCAAAAAAAAAAAAAACACCTTTTCTTGAGTTCTTATAATGGTGGTCTCGTACAATATTTGTCCTTTTGTGACTGACTTATTTCACTCAGCATAGTACCGTTCAGATTCATCCGTGTTGTGAGATGTTTCACAGATTCATCATTGTTTTTTATCGTTGTACAGTGTTCCATTATATATATGTACCATAATTTGCTTACCTATTCATCTGTTGATGGGCACCTAGGTTGTTTCCAACTTTTCGCTATTGTAACAATGCTGCAATGAACATGGGTGTGCATATGTCTATTTGTGTGATGGCTCTTATTTCTCTAAGGTATATTCCGAGGAGTGGGATTGCTGGATCATATGGTACTTCTATTTCTAGCTTTTTAAGGAAGTGCCAAATCATTTTCCAAAGTGGTTGTACCATTTTACATTCTCACCAGCAGTGCATAAGTGTTCCAGTCTCTCTACAACATCTTCAACATTTATTA